AATGAATAAACACCATGCCTACTGGAAGTAAAAAGCCTAAAATTTAAAGCTCTTTGTTCCACTTGGGACGCAAATGGAATGAAATTTTTACTATATATTTTTTTGAAATTTATTTTTAATTACTTTTGCGTTTCGATTGGAAGATGGAACTTCAAGCTTCAGGTTAAAAGTTTCAGTAGCACTGATGTTTTTACGGGATGAGGTCTGTACCCCCACGTCCAATCTTCCCTCCTTGTTGAGGTTACAACCGACAAAATGAGGTGAAGGTGTAAGCTGGTCGGAGATAGAACCTCGGACCAAATTCATGGTTGACGAGCATTCCACAGCTGAACCACTGATATAAATGAGTAACTGACACAGAAAAGTTTTAATATAGTCGACAAGATTCATTCATTGTGTTTCCTAACAGGTGTGATTTATAATTTCCGCTAACGCATGCTTAGTCTTTGTAGCAGTTAACATGTGGTATTCATGTATTTTTAGTTACGTAGTTCATCACATGCCCTACATTACTTTATTTACGTAGTGTATGCGAAACTTTCAACAAAGTTTATTAAGAACAAGAAGTATTTGGAATCAACGATTGTGGCTTCAAAAACTTCTTCTTTAAGCGCTACAGTTATAAATATATAATAATTATTATTATTATTTCCTTGAGCTCTGAGTGGAACACAGGCCTTCAACAATATATCTCAACTTTGCTTTATTCTCTGGTATGCTTTTCACCTGCGTCCACAAATGCCCATAATTTCTCATCTCCTCCCCCTCCTCCTCCTCGCCACACGATCTCCTCCGTGTGACCCTCACACTGCCGACCCACTCGTCACTCCCCGTTCGGGTTCCACCCCAGCGATGACCTGCATTTCTCGCGGTGTTACTCAATGTGTTGTCATCCAGAGTTTCTTGTTGCTAATTCTTTCTGGTCAACTGACCGATTGACCATTTGATCTTCAGTATGAAGCCAGCCAGCGAACTGAGCAGTTGTCGATATAATTCACTAAATTGTTAAAAATCCTTTTCACGACACGTAGTACAAGTTTCTTACCCACATATAAGAACTAACTGACTTCTTATGTGTGTTGAATAAAGAATCCGAATCTTGTTGTTTATGCTGGCTGACTAAGTGTGGAAGATTTCAAAACTTATTTCATAGTGGGTGAAGGCGTATCTTGCGTTTCCGTTTCTGGTTGGTTGGCTTTGGCACTTGCATCAGTTTCGCTAGTTGCGGTTGAAACACTGCTTCCTGATCAGATAAGTGAAGTAGGGTAACCTCCGTCAAATCTCTCCCGTTGATGGTGATTGGTACTGGTTGTTGTTGTTGTTGTTGTTGATGTTGTTACTGTTCGTTGGTTATCTTCATCAACTCCAGCTTCTCTATCTTCACATGGAGCTATGAATACATGAATAACTAGTAAAGACTGGTCGGTGGTATAGCGGTTAGGACGTTTGCCGACCATGTATATGGTCCGGGGTTCGACCCCCGGCCGGCGCACTCCTTTACCTCACTGAGCCAGAAATAATGCTGGTAAAGAGGAAAGGTTGGGCATGAGGCTAGCAACCCCATCCTATAAAAATAAACACTGCTACAGAAACTTCAAGCCACTGGCTTGAAGCCCTATGTTCCACTGAGAACGTGAAGGAAAAATTATTATTATTATTTACTGATCAAAATTATATCGGAAACTGTATTGTTTGATAACAGTATAAGATGGCATAACAGTCAGTTGGTTAAAATTGTCTATTGAATGCATATAAAATGTACAGCATACATTGTTGATTATCAATGAATGCATTATCACTTCACTTATTTGTTATTCGCGTTTTACATTATGCTGTATAATATTAATAATACTAATATAAGTATTACTTATATTCTGAAAACAAAAAATTGGTTATGTAGTACAGAATTTTCAGCTTGGTTTTATCTACTCAGTATACCATTCATCGCAGCATGCTGCAAGTCCCCCAACGTATTTAATCGTTCAAAAGAGACCGAAACTGCCTCTGGGTACAGGCTGTTCCCTGAAGGATCTAAACAGAGGTCATCAAAACAAAGTGTAACTGAGCAAATTTGATACACTGTATTCTGTGCAAGGTCAGGTAGCCCAATGATTTGAGCAGGCCTCCATGGATAACTATACATTTTACCTGCAATCAACAGACAATCTTAACTAATAGACTATTATTCTATCTTATACTTGTACCAAGCAGTTCAGTTTCTGATATAATTTTAATTTACCTCTCTTGGCTGTTATTGATTGTGTCCTAATATTCACGGATTTAGAACTGTAGTGCCTGGTAAAGTGATTAGAAAGAAGTTTTAGCCTAAAATGTCTCCACTTCTGAATATATACTATTATGTGGATATTTAAAATTTTTCAAAATTAATATTCTTTTTATATTTGATATTGATTGTGAACTGTAGAGATTTCTGCAAACAAAGTTTGTGTATGCTATCTTTCATCAGTAAATATCGAAAATCTAGTCCATTTTAGGTTTCAGAAAGAATTAGAAGTTTTTTATCATGTAAAGTTCGGTGTAGCTGAAAGTATCACGATAGTCAACAGTCAGCAATTTTGTTAGCCTTTGGCAATATTTAGTCAGTTGAGACAATAAATCCCATTCAGATCAAAACCAATCCATAAAATTCATAAAATGTGTATCAACCAATTTGCTTGCTCATATGGAGTCAGCGAGATATAAATAGGTCGTTTGATGTGTGTTTTTGTCGAAAAGAGTCACAGAACATTATCCTGTTTAACTACGAAAAGGTAACAATGGGTCAATAAAGAGTGCTATAACTGAATATACAGTCAACACTGATCACTCAATGTGTGGAAGGAGAATTAATTTAAAGTCATCTACAGAGTTAAAAGAAGCCTCCCGGAAAAACGGTAAGCTTCCACATACTTTGCATTTTACGGAGGCCGTAGCGACCTGGATAGAGAACCCTGATTTATTGTGCACAGAAGAAACTTCTCCACCCCCTCTTTCTAGCCTGGGTATAATTGTAAGTTCTGCGACTTTGTTATTATTGTTTTGTTTCCTTTTTTTGTTTTTCGAATTTTTGTATGGCATCTTTGTAACAATATCTTAACCAAGCCTTTATTCACTCTTTCTACCTATTAAAAAATTTATTTTTTTTAAATACGTGTCTCCATTATGATCCTATTTCATATTACGCAACTCTTGTCAATACTTACCAATCTTCACCCCCTAGTTACAATTTTGATTATTCATTACATTTTAGAAACATTTTGGTGACGTAAACAGTTACCTTGACTAACTTTTATTTTTATTTGACAATCCTAATGTACACATACACACATATATAAAATAATTACATATAAATACGATTGAATTATTAATTAATTAACTATTATTAAAGCTTGACTCCACACCGTATTTTTGATACAAGTATGGAATTTTAAGCATGTGATATCGGTAGTCCAGATTTAGCAGGCCGACCATGGATATCAGGTGTGCATCCACTGTGCCACCAACGCACAGTTAAGCGAATGAATTCGCCGCCGAAAAGAGACTCTTCACTGAAATGTTTTGTTCTTATAATCCATAAAAGTTAAGTATTAACCAATCTATTCGTCAGTAAAGCATCTAGGTTACTAAAAATGGTCCTTGGAAATATCGATGAAGCGAAAAATGATAGGGGCTAACCATAATCCTGTTTTATTGAATCTGAGAAAAATAATAATAGTAGTAATCGTAACGGCTTCATTCCAAACAGTACGTTCGATACAATGTGAACTCTCGAACATATAGTACAATATTGCATCTAGTCTCCTCTTTACATATACGTAGTACAAGGCAGGGAATAATTCATAGGACATTTTTACATTGATAATAATGCCGATAAGAGTATGAATGTAAAATAAAAATTCAACAATGCATGAATGATTGGAAAAATAGAGAAAAAAGAGAGCCGTTTATGTAATGCTTTGCAGTAAGTTAGTAGTTAGTTCTCTGACTAACAAGTTTCTCATCACATAAAATGTGCGCTAAATAATATGCGTTTTCATAGTTCAGCAGAATAGGATTAGGATGGACAATGTTTTTAAGTGAGGGTGTTCTCCGTAGAAAATCAGTCATGCATATGATAAAAAGCCATGATATATATATATATATATATATATAGTAGTTGTTACTTTTTGAAAGATACTATTTATAATTTTGCTAAACACAACAGCCTAGTGAAAAATGCAATATTTAGAATGATTCTGGAAGTCAAGGAATAAAGCTGTCGAAGTTTTATTATAATATTGTTATTCCTTTTAGTTCTGAGCGTAACATAGGACTTCAACAGCAAATCTGTATTCTACTGTGTTCTCTGAAGTTTTTCTGAACTGGTTCCATGACTGTCAGTAAGCTTTTATTTTCTCCACATACGACCTCCTCAATGTCAACCTTCGATGCTCGACCTTACCTAGGTTATTAAAGGGTCCAAATCCCATAAAAAGAGGGAAAGCTGGATGTGGAGCTAGCTGCCGTATCCTGCAAAGTCAAGCCAATCGCTACAGAAGCTTCAAAGCACAGAGATTATGTAAAATACAAACCTTTCCTTCACTGGAATCTGAGAGACACCATAACGCAGGATGGTGGAAGCCTTCGGGGAATCAGTTTGACGAGCTGTCCCCTTTTCTTTCCATGAAATCAAACAGTAGGTATGGGGACATAGAAGCTGTGAAGGCTGATCAGAATTTAAAATAAATGAGAATTTATGGCATAAAAGTGCTAAGAATCTGTAGGTGAACTCGCCTACAACTCAGGCGACAACTACGAACACACTGAGGAATTAGCTATCGTAATATTACAAAATCATCAGAGGCTTTCATCAAGTAGGAACCAATCTCCTCTGGGGTGATAATAGTGAGTGTAAACTCAAAAGGAAGGAAAGTTTGTATTATCCAAGCTATGAATACTGAAAACTTAAAAGGTATTTTATGTAACGTTGTGTGATTTAAATTTAAACTCACAAAACTTACTTCATTTGGATTATACCTTTTCAATGAACTTTTGTACACAAAAAAACCAAATATCTATTTGTTTTTGTTATGATAGGTTAATAATATCCGTAATAATGCAAATGAATATTGTACACTTATATATATATATTGAACACATTGAAATGCATTGATGTATCTAAGCAACATGAGATATTTATTTGTTTTATTAAATTCCTTCTGTTGTGTATGAGTCGATAGTCATGTAAGCTCTTGAATGATCATAGGAGATCAGAAATGGTATATAGAACAATAAATGTTTTGTTTATATGTTATTTTATAATATAAATATAACTGTATTGCCTAGTAATTCGCAGTCAGTTTAAGTGTGGAGGTCGTTGAGGCAACTCTTGTGGTGGCATGTTTTTTAAACATTAGAAATATTATTATTGTTGTTGTTGTTGTTTTTGTTGGAGTAGGTCATGACAGTCGCCAGATGACTGTCACTTATTATTGTCTATTCGATGTCGCCATATACACGACAGATACATTACACCATGTGAGATATACAACTAATTTGTAATATGTGTTTGTGTGTATACATATACACGTTTGATTGGATGTATATTATTATAGGAAGAATCATTAGGAAACTTATACACATATGTATATATAACGATATCTTATAAGAAGATTTGTCATCTTAATGTTAGGATTTGTAGATCCGTCAGAGAGTGAAGTTTTATAAGTAGTATATAAAGCTAATTTGTAGAGGGGACCATATGAATGATTCTTCTATGTTAGGGTAAGGAAGAATGTCTATATATATATATATATATATATATATATATATATATATATATATATATACATATGTATATATATATATATATATAGAGTGTGTGACAGACATATAATTGAGACATATGCAGACAATTATTGTACACATAAACGAATGTCTTTGTTAATGTAGATTAGTTAGTTAGTTAGCCAGTTAGTACATGAAATGTTAAACTCGACGATGCACTTGTTAAATCATTCTTCTTCTTTTCTTTTCTTCTTCCTTTTTGTCTCTAAGTTGACGTGACTTTTAGCATAAATAGCACAAAATTAACAATAATTTAATTCAGGAAGGAAGGAAAAAGGAGAAAATTGTATGCTTTATACTTCTTCCTTCTTTCTCTTTCTTTTTTTAATTCTCCGGGACTTAGTAGAAGTAGTAGTAGACGTCTGTGTGATCTAATATGAAATACATAAATGTCACTAATAAATGACAGTTTAGTTTAAAATAAAAGTGTTACAGCAACAGTACAATTGAGATGTACCGTTTATAACAAATAGTAGGGTTAAAAAAATAATAATAATAATAATAAAAGTAAATGTCAAATACTGCAACTAGTGAATTAGACCTTCGTGTGTTAGTCAGTTTTTGTAGACACTACTTGTACTAACAGTGTTATCTCAGTCGACCGTGATTAGCAGGGGAATTAAGGATGTAGATGCTCCTGAGATTCCTAGTGAGTGATGGTGTTACCACTGGGACTCGAACCTAGTAACTTTTGTTTCAAACGCCAAGTGGTCTATCCTGTGACACTTTGGCCTCGGAAACACTATCATTTGCTGGGGGAACTGTAAATGCGTCTAAATGACAAGTTCCGAGAAGGACGAAATACGTATCCTGGATTTTTCCACTAATGAACATCTACAGAAGTAATATCAATGTTAATCCATAGGAATCATCGAAGTGTCCGTTCAAGGAGCCAAACATTTTGGTACAATATAATAAATCAAAGAGGAAAGCAAAAAGGGACTTAAAAGAAATTGTACCAATACTGTTTGGTGTAGGATATATAAATCTAATGTAAATCATATGAGAGACAGTAGGGATTTTTTCCGGGTAAAATAAGAAAGTTGCTGATCACAATATCTGAGAAACCTAAGAGTACCGAACAGTTGTTTTGTTCTAGTTTGGTACTCTCCAGCAGTATACCCCCACCCACTGGGGTTCGAACCCAGCACATCCTGGTTACAAGGCTAGCTAGCTCACAGACTACCGAGCCAATGGGACCCAATCCGATGGCCCATGACATTCATTACATAGCGCGACCACTTCGCAATGTCTTCTTCGATGAGTTACTGCTTCATCTTCAATCTGCTGTAACCTACTGGTTGCGGCTTCTCACTGGAACTCCAGGTAACTGTCTGAATAGCACCAGTCACCAGTGAGCATCATATCAATTTTCAGGTATTGGTTAATGATTTTCTATTCTGATGTGATTGCACGTACGACCAAGATGATTTAATTGCAACATTATAAGCGCAAGCTTTAGTATTATATGAACTTATTTGAATTCTCCAGGAGTTATATGTAACCGCATATTCAAACAGCCGCTGTCACGTGTACACGGTAAATTCAAATAAGTTCACTTCATATTCAAGAGAGACGACGAAAGCTTCGCAATTAAATTACCCAGCTCAGAGGACGTAATCGCAACAAAATTGTCCACAAATATCCTTTATTATTTTAATATCGTACTCTTCAGTCCTCAAGTGTGATAAAATTTCTACTAAAAAGGATTAAACCATCATCTCATCGTAAACAGTGTCAATAAGTCTTAAATTTACATCTGCCACTCTAAGAACAACTTAGCGCTTCCACTGAAATGGTGTAACTGGTCAAATGAAATTACCTTCAGAAGTCATCAAATATTACTCAGTTATATGTCAAGGTAGGGAGAGGAAAGGCTGAAAGAAAGAAAAGGAGATGAGTTAGATATACGCTGAGGAGACCGTTGAGTAATATCACATGATAGACAAGCCTTGGATTGGAACCCGATTTCGAAGCGATAAACTGGGCGTCGGTCCGATGGTGATATGTAGGTCATCAAGTGAACTGGAAACAGAAGGTTATGGTCAATCTTAGAGCCAGACACTAAGAGATTGCAGAAAGCAGGATCAAACGGAGGTACACTGTTGAAAAAATGCTTTTCTTTATACGAGCCTCTCAACTTTAGGTCTTCCAAATGAATTTCTGACTGTGTACAGAAATAACAGCCAATTTGGATCCAGCTTGATAAGATTTTTACACACTGGAGCATTTTCCTCTAAAGATTTCAATTTAGTACCTTTATTCGTCAAATGTTTAAGTAAATACTACCAGCATTCAATACTTCGCTTCGTATTACTTTGTAACAGAAATTTACCTAACATTTACCTATCTGTTCACTTTTACCTCATCTTTTGTTGGATAATTTTTATAGTTTTACAATTTGTTTAACCATCATATTTATTATGTAAGCAAGAAGAATACCGCTTTTCTTTGAACTGACGATAGAACTATCTATAGATCTGTGTGTTAATTCTGCATTTTTTAAATGTAGGTTATTTCAAATTATATAACGTGTATATTCTAGTGGCAGTATTGTGTTATTTTTGGACCATGTAGTCATAATTTATTGAATTGGTTGGTATAAGCGATTGCGCAAATTTTACTTCCTCATGATATTTAGCACAAACACGAGTAGGGTATTATTATTGTTATTATTACTGATGCTAATGACATAATCTAATTCTAAACATTTTATATATTTAGTAATGAATATGTGTACAATAGATTAGTGTGGGGAGATAATGTAGCCTTCAAGTGTTGGTTTGTTGGGATTTGATTGATTTCCAGTCAGATAATAGATTGATTTCAGTTAGAGACCTACTTAAAATCAGGGAGTACTTACTGGATAGCTGTTTCGTCCATTTTGATGCTCTTCGTCAGTATATACATGCATGACCGTTAGTTCACCAAGCGAGTACGTTGACATTCCAGGCACTTGGATGTGAACCAATGGAGTATGGATTCAATGTTCTACTGATTCGTGATGCATTTTTAGACTGTTTTTTAATTCATGGAAAATTCCCATTGTAACATATAGAAAATCAAAACAAGTGATGATTCAGCGAAGAGACTCTTTTCAACGAATTTATTATCACGCTGTACAATCGTATATATGCATATGGCTTTTAAGAAATTATATCCGGTGAGGGAATTAAATCATAGGTGTGAATGCATAAAATAATAATAATGGTAGTATGAAATGCAATTAAAACTGAAACCAATCAAATCCCTACAAACCAACACTTGAATACCAATGAGATGCTCACTGGTGACTGGCCCTATTCAGGTAGGTAGTTACCTGGGTTCCAGTAGTAAGTCGTGACCAGTAGGGTGCAGTGGGTCGGGTGTGAGGACAAATACTCGCCGAAGACATTGGCTAGCGGTCGCGCTATGTCGTGAATTGGCAGAAGTTAGAATTCAAGGACAATTGGAACGGGTCCCAGTGGCTTATTGGTATACGAGCTCGCCTAGTAACCAGAAAGTCCTGGATTCGAATCCCGGTGGGTGCGTACTGATGAAGAGTCTCAAACTAGGACGAAACAGCTGTCTAGTACTCCCTGTTGGTTTTCCAATGGTTCTGAAACTAATGTCAGCTCATGATGAAATCCTAAATCTAAAATGTTTGTGATTGTAATCATAGTTAAATGTCAAACGGCAAAGCAAATTAATGTCATGTATAGAATAATTCATAGGATGGATAGAACTTGAAAAAGGGTGTGCAATTATAGGATTAGTAGACAAATTGAATAAAATAAAAACGTTACGTAATATTGTGTGAAATTTGATAACAGAATTTAATGTTGTAAAACAGAATTGATTTAGAATGACAAGTGGGACAAGTGAAATAATACCGGGACAGTTCAAAGTGAGAATAGTAATAGCAACAATTGACGTAATAAGGAAGAGATTACAAATTGAATAGAGAAAATGAAAAAACTGAAAAATTGGTAGAGCTAAATTATTGATTGCGGATTACCATATTTTAGCATAGAGGGATTAGGACCATGAAAGTTGGAGAGTTTGAACGAACTTATTTCTCTCTTTCGATAGCCAAAGCTTCAGCAATGCAATGAGTTGGGCACGTAGTGATTTCGGTAAATTACTGTTTGCTTTGTAGATGACTTTAAAGGCGGAGGCTATAGAGATAGGGTGATCGTTATCGATCAGATACTCAATGATCGCGTTTCTTATTGCTCCAATTCCACCTCTTCTCAACAACCATGCAGGATAGTGTTCTTGCACCCTCTTGAACGAAATTTGAGTTTGAAATCAATCAAATTCCTGCTAACCAACACTCACTAGCGACAGATCACAGGATGATGAAGCTGTGACCACCGAGTTCCATCAAGCCAAGTGTGAACACAAGTAATGAGCAATGATACTGGATTAAGGTTGTGCTATATATCACAAACTGGCAGAACTTAGAATTCACAAAGCATCGGATTCCGTCTCGGCTGTTGAATGACAAAGAGACTGGCTTCTTAATCCAATTTTTCTAATTAAACTTAAAAAGTTCTGCTTTTATTAAGTTTAATTTGATCTGTTCTCCTTTTATTTTGAAGAAGTCTGGAATCAAGTGACAGAAAGGCTTCAGCCTAATTTTTATGCGTATCTGAACTCATCAGTAAAGCATATCTGTAACCTCAGAGGTTCAAACCTGCGTCACTCAATCCTATAGTCAGCGACATTGCTACTGAGCTATTTAAGCCCACAGCTCACTTTCTGTTGGAATGTTATTAAGGTCTAGATACGTAACATTAGTTACACCCTATTGACTAATCACTGAGCAGCAGGACAATTATTATAATATTATTGTTATTCCCTTGTGTTGCGAGTAGAACATACGGCTTCAACAACAAATCTTCACTTTCTTCTATTTTCTGCTGTCCTCTCATCTCTTCCATGTCACTTTAGCTTTGACGA